AACGTATAAACAGAAAATATATTAAATAATTGTCAGACTTAATCAATTTAATAAAATATTATTTACGTTTAAGTTTCGCGAGAAGAAATGATTGATCGATAAAAAACATCTTATACGTGTGTTTATAAACAGTAATTAGGACCTTGCTAGATATCTAGGAACGGAAGAGTGTAGTTGGTTTCAGTTTCAATGGTGAAACATGTGCAAGTTCAACGTTGCTAAGTTTGTTGACAAGATCTATTAAATTAGTATTTTTTTTATTTATTTATATAACGAGGTTAAGTATATATGTAGAAACCATATAACATGAGTTTCTCACGGGCATGGTATTCCCTGAACAGCAGTAATATATATATATATATATATCGGGTTTCGATCCTAGTTAGAGGCAACCGGGCGTCTGGCCATACTGATGATCTGTGATATCAGCGAAACAGTCTGTCTGTGGATGAGAATATATATGCTTCTGAAAAATTTACTTCGGTTGAGCTCTCTGAGGAGGAAGTGTGAGTTTCTAATCAGTGACTATTACGGCTAATAATGCAAGACTCTTCGTTAAATCGAATTGAGTTCTCTCAGTCACTGTGTGTAAATAAATAAAACTAAATACCCTTAAATTCACCTTCATCCCTGCCGTGCGCCAAAGGATTAGTAATAGAATCTCCGACTGACGCCAATTCAGCCGGGTTTCGATCTTAGCTAGAGTCAACCGGATGTCTAGCCACACCGATGAACTGTGATACAGCGAAACAGTCAGTCGGGGATCAGTCTGTTGTATTTGAGCGATCAATGAAGGACAAATGACGGAGGATTAATGTGTTGCTCCACGATCTACTACCTAGGATCAATTTATTATATCAATTAAAAAAGAGATCGTAACATTGCATTAGTGTTAACGCTCTATGAATTTAATGACCATATGTAAATCTGTAGATTGTAAAGTGACCTCTAAGATCAGATTAAATTCGATATATTTCTGGACGTATAGTTCAAACGACACTTCTATTGCGTAGACCTTCATGTAGACTTTCTATGTGATGTACTTTAACTACTAACATTAAAAACAATATATTTCCTGACATTATACTTAACATTATCTTGGAAATGTCTTGAAATAGGCAGAGTGTCTCTTGTTTACGCGACAGTACAACCTAGCCGTTATTCCAGAGCTATTTCCATAGAAAACATTCAGAACATATCTATTTTTTTAGTTTCGCCAGTCCAGACAATTGCGTCTAGCAACCACTGTGCAATGTCCATGGAGTCGAATCACACTAATTTCCCCTGCAGCCAAAATATAAAAAGAAAGACCTACACAAAGATCTTTTCCAACAAAAGTATTATTTTATAGAACAGAATCCCATGTGTATACTTTCCTGAAACCTAGAATCTTAACCCCTTCAATTCAGAGGTCAGCCTTTATATATCCTCATTTATAGAGCAGATTTTCATGCGGACACTTCCCTGAAAATTAGAATCTTGAGCCCTTCAAGGGTCAGTCTTCGTATATCATCTTTTATAGAACAGACCTCCACATGGATACATCCCTGAAAACCAGAACGTTAATAACTTAAAGTCTTGAGGTTTTATATGCCTCCTACTTATGGAACAGATTTCCAAGGAAATATGTGAATATTTCCTTGAAAACTAGAATCTTAACCACAAACAGGACAAATGCAAGTATCGTATATCATAATTTTATGGAACAGACTTCCACGTTCATACTTCCTTGAAAAGTAGAATCTTAATCCATTGGAATCAGCATCAGTCTTTATATACACACCTTTTTCAAACAGTCTTTCACGTGGATAATTCCTGGAAAAATAGAATTTTAATTTTTAAAAATCAAGCGTCAATTTTTATATGTCCTCCTTTTTGGAATAGACATCCATGTAGATACTTCCCAGAAAACTAGAATTTCTTTGAGTCAAGGGCAAGTCTTTATATATCCTCATTTCATGGATCAAAATTCCATGTGGAGGCTTCCTTAACAATTAGAATTTTAATCGTTTCGAGTCAAGGCCAGTCTTCTATATCCTAATTATATGGAACAGACTTTCTTGTAGATAATTCCCTGAAACCTAATATCTTAATCTCTTAAATTCAAGGGTCAATCTATATATATCCTCCTTTTATGGAACAGGCTCTCCTTGGATACCTCCCTGAAAACTAGAATCTAAATCTCTTCATCACAAGAGTAAGTCTTTATATATACTCGTTACTCTAATAAAATTCACGTCCTAATGCCACCTCTTTTATTAATATCATACACCTCAGTCAGTTTCTATCTACCTTAACAAACTCTCGGGCCCTGTATTTTGTGAAATTTCGTATAAAAATGTAAAGCAGTATAAATAAAATCAGTCTTAAATATAGAGCCATGTGTAGCATGTTAATTTTAAATCACAGAAACCGATTCTTTTTATGAAATTATATATGTATAAATTGATAATAAGAAGAGGTGAAAATCACATTTATACGAAAAGTAGTTTTCCCGTATTTTGTTTTGCGAATTTGAAGGCCTGATATCCAACAATGATGACCTTGATCATCAATTGAACGATTAATGATAACATGCAATCGCTTCATTTCAACAAGTGAGAAAAAAAAGACTCTTCTTTTTTTCACGTTTTAATTTTACCATTCCATCAGTCTCACACGCTCATAACATTCAGTCAAATATGGTCTTTTTCTGCCTCAGAAGGTAGCCATCTTTGATTTCATTTTTTTTTATTCTTCTCTTTCTCTTTCTCACTTTTTCTCTTTCAGTTTATTACGTTGGATTTGGTTTAAAAAATGTAAAAGAATAAACAAGCAACGATGTAAAGAAAAGCTATTATCACCGAAAGAAAAATAATCAGCTTAAAAATGGCGGAATTTATGGAGTTAGTCGATGGGATTCAATCGATAATTTCCGGATGATGTTCTCGGTGATATTGTTCTGCGCATGGGCGAACTAAAAATACCTTTACGCTTTGATTGGAGACGAAAAAAAAAATTATATAAATTCTTAGTTTCCTTTTGAAGAGATTTATCGGGAGAATACTGATGACAACGTGATTTGTCGCAACCCAAGTAGAGGAAAAGGTTAAGTATGGCTCTTCATAATCTTCTGTCTTTCTTTGCCTTCAGCAGTCGTTGATCTTTTAGCATTACTGTCGGTGCTTATTCTGGTATATATTCACACAATCTTGTTGAGTCGTTTACAAGTTGTTTCTCTTCGTTCTCTTGCATTCAATACCTTTTGTAAGTGTTCAGTTTTACTTTCTACATTATAAGTCTCAGAAATCAAAATTGACTTTCTATTATTGTCAGTATAATTATGATTAAACGGCTCGTCGTTGCTCATCCTGTCCATATCATACTCATGTAGAACCACATTTCTGTTGTTTCAATCATTTTCCTCATCAGCATTTCCAGCATTGACTGTCATATAGAAAGACCGATATTATATTGTGATATAATGGAATATGCGTACACCTGCGTTCTCCCTCACTGGAATATGATTGGCTGGTGTCCGTCATAAATACCGACGGACGTGTAGGAGAGTCAAGAGCCTTAGTATGAGAGCTAAGTCTATAACGACGCCTATTTGACTACGCCATTGATCTACACTTCTTACCTACGACTACGACGCGTACCAGTCGATTACTGCTACCGTATTCTACTTGGTTATAGTAGCCAAAACCACTTAGCAACTTCGTTCAAATATATCCCTTTCCGGGACATATCACATTGATACTGTTTTCATTGCTTTAAAAAGTTTTGTGCTATATGAGATTAGGCATGTGAGCCTAGAATAAGGTGCGCTTGGTGTATTTCCACGCATCACCGCAAACTGAAAGCCAAAACATTAACCTAAAAACCTTATCTACTGAAATAGCCTCGTCAGATCGAGAAGTTCATATTGATACCATGCATGGTAGCCAAATCGTTTATAAATACCTAATCTTCCAGGTGTATACAACAACATTTTTATAACATTGGTTAAAATAGTTCCGTACGAATAAACACTGTAGGTCGTAGTGAGGACCGTGCTCCTAACATTGTCGTTGTTGTCTCACAAACAAAGATCTTTAGAAAATAACAGAAACAGCATCACTTGAGAACTTTTTACAGTATTAGCATCGTAAGCTGATATAACATGTAAGTAGAAGTGAAAATAATGATATACTCAAAACGTTAAAGTTTCTCACTATTTCGAAGAAAAAAGTAGTGCGGAAAACCCCATCAATACTGGAAAGCGCGATAAAAATTATTGGACTTATAAAAAAATGTGTTAATAAAAATATTTAAGAATTTAATCCGAAAGTAGAACTGCCTGCTCAGTCAATGAATATCGAATATTTTTTTATTATTAAACGCGGTTAATAAATGAATATTTCCTTATGATTAATGAAGAATCGTTCGATATTCCAGTGCGCCTGAAAGTACATAAAAAACTAGAACGCACTAGGCAACAAATAAAACTAATTCTTCATAATACTACAGCTAAAATAGCATGGGTTCTTTATATTAATAGATGTAAGAAAAAAAGGAAATAAAGATATAAATATTTCAAGGTTTTCAATTCTATGCCGCCTCTTCGCCATCGGCAAATTTCCAGTTGTCTCATCGATGAGTTGCTTCTTGGTTCTTGATTCTTGAGCAGTCGATTCATTTTCATTTCTTCCCTACGCTGCAGTTACTCCCCCCCCATTTCACCAGTAACGGAATATAGGGTCTCTCAATTGGAAATACAGGGATTCGCCTCATGACAAATAGGAAGTTACGATTCTTAATCACTTCTAACCAAAGTGAATTCTGGACAAGATCAGCGCAAATGTAGAGCGGATTTGAAGCTGAATGTTAAGAATAACTTGACAGAACATTTGACTTAAAAGAAAGTCTTAGGAATTACATAAAATCCGATATTTCCGATAAGAAAGATAGCCTTGAGAATTGAACACCCATAGGGCATGCGTGGGGAAAGAGAAGTAGGGGAAAAGAGGCCAACTTATCTAGTCAATGGGAATGAATGGCAGGATAACAACAATGACGGAGGGTAAAGGCTCAGAATAAAAGAAAGAAAAAGCAAAGAGAACGATGAACAAAGAAAAGGAAATAAAGGGAAAGGTAAAGAAGAAGAAAACAGAAAGGTTAAAGAAGCAGAAAGAGAAGAAAAAGACAACGAAAAAGAAGAGAAAAAGGAAAAAGAAAAAGTAGAAAAAGAAGAAAAGAAGCAAAAAGAAAAGAAAACGAGAAGGTAAAACAAAAGAAGAGAAACATAAAGAAGAAAATAAAAAAGAAGAAAAAAACAAGAGAATCAAAAAAAAAAAGAAAACTAGAGAAAAAGAAGAAAAGAAATAGAAAGAAAAGACAAAGTAAAACAAAAGAATTGAAGCATAATGAAGGAAATAAAAAAGAAAGAAGAAAGAAAAAAAGAAAAGAAGAAAGAAGTAGAAAAGAAAAAGACAAAGAAAAACAAAAGAGAAACATAAAGAAAGAAATAAAAAATGAAAGAGAAAAGTAAGAATAAAAGAAGAAGAAAAAGTAGAAAAAGAAGAAAAGAAGCAAAAATAAAAAAAGAGACAAAGAAAAACATAAAGAAAGGAAAAAGAAGAGAAACAAAATGGAAAACAAAGAAAAACAAGAAATGAAAAGGAAAAGGAAAAAAAACAAAGAAAAACTAGATAGAAACATAAAGAAAGAAATAAAAAGAAGAGAAAAAAGATAAAGAAGAAAAGAAAAGGACAGAGACAAACAAAAAAGACAAACTTAACGGAGGAAATAAGAAAGAAGAAAAAAAGAGAATTAAAAAAGAAAATGTAGAAATAAAAAACCCAGAGAAGAAGAAACAAGAAGAAAGGACGCAAAAAGACAAAGAAAAACAAAAGGGAAACATAAAGTGGGAAATAAATAGAAAGAACATAGAAGAGAAACAAAAAATTGAAAGTAGAAAAAAGAAACGAAGAAAAAATAAGAAAATATACAAAAAGGAAAGAAAAAGAGAAAGATAAACGAAATAGAATGAAGAAAAAGGAAAGGAAAAAAGAAGAAAAAGAATGAAAAACAAAAGTAAAAGAGAAAAACAAAAGAAGTGACACATAAATAAGGTAATAAAAAAGAAGAATAAAGAAGAAAAGAAAAGAAAAGAGTACAAGTAGGAGCGGATTCTTTTAACCCCCCTCCCCAGGATAATCTTGTCTTCATATTTAGTACTGTTTATTTAAGGGCACCTCGAGGTGGTGTAATAGTTAACCAGCTTGTCTCACTGGATCAATTATGGCTGAGGACTTAGATCCTCACTGGGTGCCCCACATCTGAGCTACGCTTGGAAAATCAATATTACTGCTCACTTATTACTCGTGTCTTTTTTCCCCTTTAAATCTCAGTGTGTACTACCGATGGAGGAATTAAACTCACAATTACTCGACAACCCAATTTAGGAAACAACACTTTAACCACTTGGCTATTTTCATATACGATTTCTTATGTATAATCAGTGGGACGAGGAATATCTACTTCCATAAATAGTCTGAGTGTAAATAATGTAAATAATGATAAATCCTCATCCCAGGCATATTTTAAATCTACTTTTTGGCTGGAAACGTTTGCACATTTTTATACTAAGCTAACAAACCACAACATGAACGAACGAATAAAGATTGAAACCCACTGTAATGTTATTGGTCTGATAGACGAGCCCACTATTACACTTATCCGAGTACCCTCCTCTAAAGGTAAATATTTAAATACCTGTAATGTCATTAAATTCAATGATCTAACCCGATTTTTTTAATGTGCTGTGCGCCTAATATTTGTAAATATATTTTATCGATTATTCCCGAGTGTTTTTTTTTCAGCTAATTTTTTTCAATATATTGTTACTCATATGTCCACTAAAAATGATTGCAATGAAACAATGTCGATAATCTTACTGTATGAGTACAAACTGGATCATCCCGTCTTTGAGACATTTCGGAATATCAAGACGGCTTATGATAATGGTATTGTTGGAATCAGAACTGTACGGAGATGGTTTCAGATGTTTTGTTCGGGAGATTATAGTCTTGTAAATAATCAAAGGAAAAGACCATAGTCGGTTATCAGATATTGTCAGTTTGATGGTGTGGTTGTTCAAAATACGAGAACTACAATCAGAAAACTTGCATCAAAACTCGAAAGATCTCGCTCAACTGTTTCGCGGCACTTGAAAGCCATTGGGAAAAGTAAAGAAACTGGATAGGATTCTTCCGCATGAACTGAATAGCACTCCACCCCACCAAAAAAAAACAACACCGTATTGAGGTGTGCTCTCTTTTGGTTTCTCGATTGGAAAAAGAACCATTTTTATATTGCATCCTTACATGCGATGAAAAATGGATACTCTTTGACTAACAGTGGTTAGATGCAAGCGAATCACCAAAACAATGCCGAAACCTCCACTGCACCGTAAAAGGTTAATGGCTTTTAATGTAAAAGTTATGGTGGCTTTTGAAAGGGGTTATTCATGATTCATTCTTACCGTAAGTGAAAACAATAACAGCAACCTCGTGTGGTGGAGAAATTGAGTGTATGCACGAAAAATCGAAAAAGAAACATAAACATCCTAGACTTGTGAATAGAGATGGCCCAATATTGATGCACGACAACGCACGGATGTATGCTTCTCAAGCAACTGTCCAAAAGCTGCATAGCCTGAATTATGAAATTTTGCTTCATCCCTCACATTCACCTTATAACTCTTCTGCTGATTCTCACTTAAACATTTTGAGCTTTTCATAGACCATAAAACATTCTCCAATAAGGAAGAGTTAACCGAAAAATTTATCACATCAAAGGATGAGGAATTTTTAAAGAGGAGATCAAGAATTTAGAAGTACATTGGAGAACAGTTATTCATCAGCATCGTTCCGATTTAAACTTAATAAATTAGTTATTTAACATTTCAGAAGCGTTTTATTCATTTGGCAACCCAATATATAAATAGACGAAACAACACATAACGGTTCTGATTATGACGATAAACTACATCCGGCATCACGGCCTATGATGAGGAAATTGGAGGCTTTGGGAAACGTATAACCACCTCTTAATTGCTGTGTTTTCTACGTCAACCCTGACTCGTGATGGTTGCACCTGTTAGGGTCCCAAATATGGGCAAATAGTTAACTCCCCCTAATCTGCGGTCAAAACATTATGAAAGTTTAAAAACAGATTTTTATAGTAAAAATACCAGCAACACATTTCTTGAAAAAGGAATATAAAATTACCAGCAATGCATCTTTGAAAAAATTACCACTAATACATTTTCGAAAAAAATCTCTTTACAAAATTACGTAAATGAAACCTGATCTACAAACGTATTTCTTACAAACAATACATATTCTATTCATACAAACCTATCCTAAAAATCTTGTCTGCATTAAATAACCCATTTAGGTGTTGATATGCCGTAAAACAAAATAAACCAAACTAAACCAAAACATAACCCCTGGAAGAGATTACAGTCAATATAACTTCAAAGAAACGATCAATAACTAATCTAATGATAGGAAGACAATTTTGCTTACAAGATGCGATCAAAAATCTTTGAAAATTATAGTGTTATATGGACTAATCTTTTCGGAATTCTATGATAGAAGCGAAAGTGATTTTAGTTAGAAAATCTGTATGAAAGGACATCAAAGAAGGAAATCGAATTTCTTTATTTGTTTTTTTACTTCTTTTTGCCGAATACCTCTAACCATTATCCGCTAGGCTTTCATTTCTCTATTTATTCACTTCGCTGTCGATATTTGCATCGCTATTTGTTTAGTTTTTATTCTGTTCAAGCTAATGTCCATCTCTCATGACAGAGCTCAGTAATTTAAAGAGACTTTCAGGCAGAGACAAGGAGAGGATTTCGTTTGTAGAGGCAGAACGGACTTATCCGACACCTTCCCACATAACCCCAGCCTATTCATCACATTTCCTCGACCTCCCACGCTCAATCTGAACCAGGCCGCACCAAATTAACTTCTTCCATTGTCCACTCTTTTAGTCAGCTGACATCCTGTTTACTTTTTCATATATTTTTCTTTTTTTTTTCTTGCTCTTCAAGCCAGCACTATTTTTTTTCCTTTTCTACCTTCGCCGTTCTTTTTTTTTCCATGCTCACTTCCTTTTCTACAGAGAAAAAAAAAGAAAACCTTCTATTTCCATCTTCTCCGGATGTTCCAGTATACCACGGCTCTCTCATCTTCACTGCCTGCTGCTGATCTCCGCAAAACTTCCGGCGTTCAACCGTGCTGTCCTAGAAACGAAGGCCGAGATGTCAGAATGGGCTAATGGAGTTGTTCGCTTGTGAATATCATGGATCATCTTTTGACACTTTTCGGCAAAACCGGCCTTGTTTAACGCCGCAGGTTCTCCTAACGTGCGTATCTTAACCCCTGTCCGCTAAAGATACTCACACTACCTATGCTCTGAGCTGTTGCAAATATATTTTCTGGTCGACAATGACGGCAAAAAGGTGGCACTGTTCTGGCTCAGAGAATTGAAAAATTTAGCCCACTTTTCGAAATAAACATTTTGAGAAAAAATTCCAATATATCATTGCTAAATAAATGTATTTAATTATGAAGGAATATTATAAGATTAATTTTGATTTTATTTAAACGCATATTCGCATTATCAGCGGCAAATTTGACTGTTTTGCGATTAAAAAAAATTGTTTTAAAAATAAATAATGAAGAAGATTTAACGACTCAAGTCTCTGTTTCTAATCCTGATAATGTTTCTTTTAGTTATTACGTTACCACGTGTGTTACGCCCTCCCATTACATTATTTCAATTAAATAATGGACGGTCCTTTTTTCAGCGATAGTAATGCCGTTTGGTTTTAATTAGAAAAATAATACAAGCAATAAGAACAAGAATCGGCGCTTCGGTGCAATGGTTAGTAAGCATTTCTCTCTAGATCAATTACAACTGACGAGTAGTTTTTGTCCTCGCTGAGTGCTCCACAAATTAGGCCTTGTGCCACATCTAAGCTAATGGCGCTTAGACATGATGCAATTTTGTGTTCCATCCAAATTTCGCTCAGAAAATCTTTTAAATAATTCGACGTGATTTAAGCAAACTTATCTCGCTAGATCTATTACAACTGACTATAGTAGGTTCAGTCCTCGCTGGGCGCTTCACAATTTCGGACTTGCGCTACATCTAAGCTAGTGTTTAAAATAAAAGTATTTCGACGTGGTGCAATGATTAACAGCCTTATATCCCTAGACTAATTACAATTGTGTAATCGAATCGATTGTCAGTGGGTGTTCCATAATTTCGGTCTTGTTCAACATCTAAACTAAGCTTCGACAATAACAAGAAGGAAGAAAGAGAGTGAACTTATAAAGGAGGCAATAATACGCTCATGGTTTAAACATCTGATTCAACAGGATTGATATTTGAAGAGTTTGGCAGCTGAAATCTTCATGTTGCTGAAACGATTCCTCGACGGCAGTGATGTCTGAGATGAACCATTCTCCTGTTGATAGAAGTCGATGCCATGCTACAAGACAGTTGCCATCATGGCGTTTATCTGGTCTTTAATGATCTTCACGGAGGTGGCAGGAGAGAAGGTACTTTCCACATGAATGATACGTCTCAAAGATTTATTGTTTTCCCACAATGTGTATTGTCAATAAAGTTAAGGCGGAAGTACGATCTTGGCACGGTGGGCAGAGACAAAAGTACCCGTAAAAATTTGTGGCTATCTGGCCCCTTAATTGATGTTCAGTTCAATTATGTTTTTGTACTATTAAGCAGAGCACAAAAAAACATTCATATTTCTAATGAAAAATCAGAAATTTTAATTCTAGAAACACTGATCTATAGTGAAGTCAAAATTGCCTCAAAGAGTATACATTTTGCATTTACACACGTTTTCTTTGGGGAGGGGATTCTCCGTGTTTCAGGGTCATTCAAAACACGGCGAATAGCCACTGGTTTTATGATAAATACGAGAAATATGAACACTGATATTTACAGGGTACGATTGGTAAATTTTCGCCATTTTATGTTTTTAATTTCGCACATGCCCTTTTTTGTTTTTGATTTTATCGACTGGACAGTATAGTAGGGTGAGTTTGGATCTGTGTCTGAACACCATGGTGCAATTCAATCTGCCAGACATTTGAAAACGGTATGCTGTGCTGCATGGAATTCGCGCCAGAAGCTCCAATACCAACATTACACAATATCTGAGTAGAAATCTGAGAACTATGCAGAGAATTCGTAAAGAGTTGTATAATATATCCAGTCAATATGTTTGGAGTGATCGCTAGTGACGACGATATTATGACCCCATTCATCTCCCCACAGGACCTCAAAATGAACACAGAGGACTACATCAAGTGCTTTGAGAAAGTAGTGTGGCTCTGAGTCAAAAGGACGAAGACTGGACGACGCTATGTCTGGCAACAGGACTCTACACGATTCATCACAAGCAAGAGAACTCAGTCATGACTGTCAAACAATTACTGCGACAACATCACCTCATACATGTGGCCCTCTAACTCCAAAGACTTCACCCGCCTGAATTATTATGTAAGCGACGCAGTTGAGCGAGTGGCCAACACAAATCCTTGTAACTCAAAGATGAACTGAAGGCATGGATTATGACAAAATTCACGAACTTAAATAAGGAGAACGTCCAGAAAAGTTGCAGGAGATTCCGAAGTCGCCTGGAGGCCGGGGCTGGAGCCAATGGTGATTTTATTGATTACATTTACACTTTAGTATTTCAAGATATTTTGCGTAATATAGGTAAATATATATGTTAAAATGAGATGCCAGTGTAATTTTCATTTTTGCGTAATTTAGACAACAATTCATCTATCACACCCGTGCTTGTCAGCATATGATTTAAAAACTGGGTAATTATCAATTTAATATATGGAAAGAACTGAATACTTTTAAAATATTTTTCCGTCAACAATATTCTTACCTTTTTACAGATTTTATTGTTTGAATATTTGGAACTTAAAATAAAAAGGAGAAAAACTCCTGGGCAAATTTTGTTAGTGTTATTCGAATTTGGAGTATCAGAGACAAATAACCGGGTAAAACACGGCAAAGAAGGGTTTTTATGAGTTATATTCTTTAAATATATTATTTCGAAACTATGTTAGAAATCATTTTAATAATTTTGCCTCGGGTATTTCTGCTAGTATTGAATAAATATACTCTTTAATATTTCAAGATATTTTTGTGTAATTTTGGTAAATATATCTGTTAAAATGGGATGTCAGTATTATTTTAATTTTTGCATATTTCAGACGACATTTTATCCATAGCAATTTGTAAAACGCTGAGCCAGATTAGTACCTAAATTCCACGCCAGATTTCTTCATCATCTGTCTCTTCGTGATGTTATGTATATAGGTTCCTTTTGCTTCTATTTTTTCCAAAACTTCGTTTTTGTTCACATCTGTGATCCACGATATCCTCAGCATCTTTCACTAGAATCACATCCCTGTTGCTTAAAGTCAGTTCATTTTTAAAGAAATTATTCAGCATTCGTTGGCATCTAGGAAGACAGATATCATGTAAAAGTTACGTATTATTTTATGTGTTTCTAACAAAAATTTTCTGATTCTTAATACCTTGTAATCATTGAGACCTTATCTATGACCATTCCAGAGGACATTCGGATTCCAACGTCGTACTTTCCGTTGTCTGTTAGAACATTTCCCAGATATCTATATATTTCTATCTGTTTTTGGTATCGCCAATATGTGATTTGCATATTGATCTGTTCCTTTTGCCAAATACCATTCATTTTAATTCTTGATGTTTAGTCGTTTCTTTAAGTTTTCCTTCACGATATTCTGTAGGAGTTTCTGCAGTTATCTTTCCGTGTCTGCTATAAACACTGCCTAATCTCCATATCCTATTTTAAGATTGTAACCCCCCGCCATAATGGATCCTAGTAGGTTTTCTAATTCTCTCGGAATCACCTCGCTGTATACGCTGAATGAGTCCGGCATTATATTTTTTGTATATCTTATGAACCTATTTGCTATCCAGATGCAAGCGATTTGCTGCCAGTATAGGCTCTTGAATATTGTAATATCCTTCCCAATTATCTCAAGGTTGCTAACCAGTTCTATCATGTTTTTGAAATCGACAGCGCATTTCATCACAAAACGATTCTACGAAAATGGTGAATAGATAAGTGTCTTTTCGGCAGGATGTTTGCTTGCCTGAATGAAAAGAAGACTAAGTCGGATGATAAAAGCTTATTTTTGTTGTGACTATTTAGAAACTGATATTGAAATTTTGCCTGGAATGGAATAGAACACAGTCCTGCCGGCTGGAAATAAACAATCATCTAAATCACCAAAGAAGTCATTGATAACTTCTTTTACAGTATGAAAAATTTATTGTAAGATCAAATTAAAGAATGAATGTTCCTCATGGGCATCATGGTAAAATATTGATGTACAAAAAGACACTAACCTATCTGTAACAGTAATGATACTAACATAAGTTATCAGCGTCATCTGCAAAAAGATTACTTAAAAAAAAACACGCCAATGACACATACGTTATTACCTATTATTGCTACAATATGACAAATAAAATTATTTTTACTGATTGTACACAGGTCTATTATGTTTAATCATGAGCCATTCAAAACTTTGTATATTTGCTTTAATTTCAAGAGAATATATTATGGATATATTATTTTTGTATTATGCCGTTCCTTGATCTAAGCTTTCGGTTCACATGAGCCAACTTTAGAGTTGTTATATAGACATTTAAATAAAGATATTCATCATCATAGATGTTATTCTATTATTGTTGTGGCTCCCGTGAATAGAATCCTGCACAAATAAATAAACAACGCCAGTAATTGAGATAGAAAAATAAGTGTATTAAACGTAAGAATACAGATTTGAAGTGAAGATTAGTAGTCCATGAATGCGGGTTAGTAGAAAGTATATGTACAAGTATCTGTAAGTAAAGCTGTAATCATCTCTCTCTCTCTCTTTCTCTCTCTCTCTCTCTCTCTCTCTCTCTCTCTCTCTCTCTGGACTCTTGTATAACTCTCTGAGAACACCCTGTGTCTGTCTCCGTATCTCTCAACCTGTCTCAACTTATCTCAAACGTATCTCCACGTATCTCAACGTATCTCAACAGCAGGTATTCTCTCTGTCAGTATAAGTATACTTTGGACGAGTCCATTTTATGTAAAAT